TACACTTGATTAGGTAAGATACGCTAAAAAAAAAATTCACAAAAATATCGGATAGGAAAATGAAAAACTATATTTTCTATGCGTATGGTAGGGTGAACACTCCTATCCTTTGGAGTCCATATGAGATAAAAAAATTTGGTGGAAATAAAGAAGTTTTTCTTTGACGACCCTTATTTGTTTAAATATTGTGCTTACTAGGTTATAAGAAGATGTGTACCCATCGACGAGTAGCATGATGCTATCTCTTTCTTCTATTTATAAGTGTGTGGAGGCCATTTTTCATCAAAGAAAACTACATCAAAAATCCTATTGTGTGAATTTTACTAGCCTACCTTGTTCAATGATTGCTTTTAGTTTTGCAAGAATTGTGACCGATGCCAGAAGTTAGTTAGAGTAACTCAAAGGAATATGATGCTTGTAAACCCTATCCTTGTCATTGAGGTTTTTGATTGTTGGGGTATAGATTTCATGGGTCCTTTTTTCCTCATCTTTTGGTTGTCATTATATTTTGCTAGCAATTGATTATGTTTTTAGGTGGGTAGAGATTACACCAACTAGGACAAATGACCATAAAGTTGCCATCAAATTTTTGAAAGAAAACAACTTGTCTAGATTTGGAACGCATAAGGCAATTATCAGCGATAGTGATTCATATTTTTGCAATACACCATTTGGGACTTTGATGCGCAAATATGATATCACACACAGAGTGTCCACTTCTTATCACCCATAGACCAATGGTTCTGAGTTAGCCAATAAAGAAATTAGGCATATATTGGAAAAAAAGTGAACCCTAACCATAAAGATTGGTCAATTCAATTAAGTGAAAATTGGGGTTGAGTCCCCTTAGACAGACTTGTTTGGAGATAAGTCTGGTAAGGAAACTTATTTGGTTATAAGTCCATTTTTTGACCAGTCTTATTTTTTAGAAAAAACATAAACGACATCCAATTTGTCGTCTCTTTCCTAGACGGTAAAACCCTCTAACTCTCTCAATGTAAATCGAAATTTTCCCTTCTTTCAAGCCTTGAAATCCGGCAATATTCATCAAATCTTCCATAGATTCCTTCCCTAAAACCCGGTAACTGTCATTACCTAAACCAATCCTATTCAAATTTTAAAAAAGTTACATACCATAAGAGCAAAATCCGAATATACTCTTCAAAGTTTAATCTAGACTCCATTGAAGAAGTTATTGTTGTTGTCTCTGCATTCAAATCATCATCAACAATCTTTGGGATTCATAAAAAGATTGAAAGGTATGTGATTTTAGATGAATGTTAATGTATATTTTTGGGTTTTAGGAAACCCATTGCCTGATGTGTCGTTCTTACTATCTGGGTTTTTTATTTTTTATTTTTTGCATTAATAACATTAAAATTAAGATGGATTGTTACTATAATAAAAGTGTTATGTATTTTATTTTTGTCATTCTTTTTGATGTGTTTGACAGTTGAAATTTGTTGGTTATGTTTCTATGAAATATATGAGGTTACTGTGTGAGGAGTTGAATAAATTTATCTCATAATTTAAATATCTTGATGTTATTGATCGGTGTTGAGAGTCCTAATTCAAGCATTGACAGTGTGTTACAATTGTGAATTTTTTAAATTTTAAATTTTAGAATTGTATGTTTACTATAACCATTTGAAATTTGATATTATTGTAAATACAATATAGCCTTTGGGATGAAACTATTCACGTTAGTGTTACTAATTTAATGTGCTATGTATTTACATGTGAACATTTTTTTGTTGCTTTATGCGTTGTTCAAAACATTCGAAAACTATTGTTTCAAAATAACATGAAATATATCATGTTACTCTATCTTAACATGAAAAATTGATTTCTTAATTTCAATGGATTGATGTGCTTAAGTACTGTAGATGTTACTATGAAAATGATGTTACTGCACATGTGTTACTGATCACAACCTTGGGTTTTTACCTTTAATGCATAATATGTTGGTTACGAAAAGGAAAATATCACAAGTTTCCTCAAAAAAATGTTCAAGTTACTTTTGAACACTGTTACTTACATTCCAAAAATTGTAACATAGGGACTCAATGGATTTCCAATGGAAACAATTTTATAATGAAAAATGTAGTTACTTAATTAAAAGTCTATTATATAATTATATGTATAATTTTTTTGTTGTTTTCTTCATTGTTTAAGAAATTCAAAAATCATTGGTTCAAGAGTACATTGAATCTTTTCATGTTATTGTGTGATAACTGAAAAATTGAATTCATATTTCCAATGTATGCTTGTGTTTTTGGTACTATGGATGGTACTAACAAATTGATGTTACTGTAGACATGTTACTAATCAACTCCCTTTTTTGGTTTTTACTTTTAATGCACCATATGTTGTTTATGAAGAGTTCAAGGGTTGTTGTTTGATTTTAAATGTAAAAAAGGAACACAATGAATTTGCAATGGAATTATGTATTGAAAAATAATGTTACTAAATTGTGTGTGTTTTGATGTTACTAACTTGATGTTACTATATTTACATCATGTAATTTGGTGGAACTGTTAATGTTACTTTTGCACAAAATTTTTCATAATTGGTTTATATCTATTAGATTTGGTATCACGTTATTATATTATGTATGTTACTATTCTGTATGTTACCATATGTTGTGTGTTACTATTTTGTATCATGATACTATATGTTTGTGTAGGATATTGATATTACAACTGTCCAATATATTCATATTGATATTACAACATCGTGCTATAGGTTGATGACAATTACAGAAAATAGAAAAGAAATTGAAACCAGCACAACTTAACACTCTACGAATACATATGATGACTACATTCATAAACCATAGGAATGTATGGACTGTTGAAGACCACAAGACAAGATCAAAATTGAAAAAAAGATACCAAAAAAATAAAAATTGGTGATGTTGTAAAACTATTCATTCTTTAGCTACTTGTGAGCTTGATTAGAAGTTGGTTGTAATTGTTTATTAATTGATACTTAGTTTAAATGGAGTATTCAAACATGTAGAATTGTGGTTTGGATGTTACACCTTGATATTAAAATGATATGTTGATGTAAGTTTGGGAATTTGTTTGTAATGGAATGTTTGGAAAAACAACAGTAACTTAAACAGTAACATGTTAAAAAATGTTCCAACTAACATAACCATTCAATTTTAGAATGCTAAAATTATTTTTTATGTGGAATTGATATGTTAAAATCCGTTGTAATTATTCATTATCAAGTGAACTTGTAATATTATTGCACGATTGGTTACTGTATGTAATGATCATTAAATAGTAACTTTGACAGTAACATCATTAGTAACACGAAGTCTCGCGACTACTTCTATCACCTTCAAACCCCCTGTCAAACACAAAAAACTATTATTCAAAAGTATAATATACTAAAATTGATTAAAAATTCAAATTTGAATTTAAATTGATAAGGAAAACTTATGATCTAATTAATTCGTCAATTAGGTTTTTATATATAGCTAGCAGAGTATATACATTCCATATATTCTTCATTTAATTATTAGGATTTTTAATGAAAAATGATTTCCATATATAAGTCAAACTAAGGTTTCTATATATACTTTAAAGATTTAACTTATTGGACTTTCTATAATTGAACAAAACTAACACCGTTAGGGGTAATATTGAGATTTACACAAAAATGAACTTAAGTACCTACATATAAGTTTAAACATGGACTTAGACTCCAATAAATTTCTTTGCTGGACTTATCTCCAAATAAGTCCACACAGAGGGACCGACCTCCAAATTTCCCTTCAATTAATTGATGTTTTATGGGCCTACCAAGCATCATATAAGACTCACTTAGGTATGTCTCCCTACAGAGTTGAACTATGGCAAGATCTGTCATTTGGTAGTAGAGATTGAACACCGAGCATATTGGGCCATAAAGTCATTGAATTTTAGTTTGAGTTCAGCTAGTGAACACAGGAAATTACAATTGAATGAATTAGAGGAAATACGCAGGGATGTATATGATAGTACTAAGATTTATAAAGAAAATGGTAAAATTTTTCATGATAAATCAATATTAAGAAAAACTTTTGTGTCACGTCAGAAAGTACCGTTTTACAATTCCCATCTTCATATCTTTCCAATGAAGTTCCCTTCGCGATGGACTAGCCTATATATAGTTTGTGTTGTCTATCCTAATGCGGCGGGGGAAATTCAAAAATTTTAAAAATGGTCAAATTTATAAAGTTATAAAATAGACAACAACTTAAGCCATTCTTGTGGTTTTTTATTCGAGGAGGTTGTGGAAGAATTTGTTGATCCTGTGTATTAGGATCCTATGCCTAAGTAGTTCTTTTAATTTCATTTGTAGTTTAGCGTAGCAAGTTTATTTTCTTTTAATGTACAGTTTTATTTTGTTTTACTTTCCATTTTTTGCATATATTTTTACTGTTATTTTGCAACCGGTGGTTTTACTTTAAGGAACTTAATGTCAGATGCATCTGATTTAGGCTGTATTATTCTTTCCTAGAGGGAGAAAGAAGAGAGAGACAATGGAATGGATAATAAAATAGATGATCAAGAGATTAAAAAAAAAAATCTATCGTGAAAAGGTTTTCATTACTGATAAATTTGTCTTTTTTAATAGATTTATCTGTTTCAACAAAAAAGTCTTCCGTTTGGACTTAAATCGGTGGACTTGTCACCAAATCTAAAAAAATAAAAAAGAAAAAAGAAAAGAAAAACATAAAGGCGCCTTAAATAAATAAATGTTCAGACACAGTTGAGGTTCGAATTGACTGTCCCGAAGACTTCTCTTATCTTGCTCCAAACTGGAAAGCCAAGCTCCGTTCAATGACCATCGCCATTCAGCCCACAAAGACCCTTTCAGAAACCTGACGAAATCTACACAGTAACACATGGCCTCTGTCCTTCAATCGCCATGGCTTTGTCCTCACAAACCCATCAAACCTTTTGTTTCATCAGCAAAACCAAATTTCATAAACCCCACATTCAATCCCCTCAAAGTCTCGTCTTCGTTAGCCCCCTCCAATGCTGAATCTTCATCAGACTCAGACTCACCGGGAAAATCTGCTGAAGCTGAATTGGGCAAAACAGACCCTGTGAAGCTCGCGTTTGAGAAAGCTAAAGCGTACAAGAAATCGGTACCCACGAATCCAACTCCAAAAGTTGTTCAAGACCCAGTTCAACAATTTGCTGAAACAGGTGATAAGAATGGTGGGTTGGTATCAGAAGTTAGCAAGGCTGAAAATAAAGAGGTTCCCATTGCTTTTAAGCTTGCAATGGAGAGAGCAAACGAGTATAAGGACAAAGGAATAATGGATAGCAGTAAAAGCGTGGAAAGAAATGAGACAACTTCAGGTATTGTTGGAATAAAATGTGAGTTTCTTTCGTTGTTTTTATTCCCAATTTCTGATGAGATTCTATTGGTTTAAGATTTGTGTAATCGCTTCTAAATTGTTTAGATATAGTTAGAATAGTCATGGAGAAAACATAAGAGAATTGTTTTGGGTGGATGAGAATAAAATATTTCAAAATTGAGTACTCTACCCAACCGAAGTGATGAATTGCAAATAATTGAGTTGAAATTGTGTCCGGTCTGAAAGGATCCTAAGGAAATTTGCTATTTATTTTAATTGGACTCTTAGCCGATTTTTTAGCTTCCAGGGTAGGACAAGGAGACCCGTTTTTCGATTCTCTTGTAATAAGAGCTTGTGTCTCAGATTGAAGAATAATTTTTAGCTGGGTGCTCTAACATTGTATCATAGAAGAGCTTTCGGTGGTAAGTGGGCCAAGTATTTTACCCATTTGGTTTTGCTAGTATCCATGATTGCTTATTTCATTATTTGTTAGCCCCACGTGCGAGTTCGTATTCCACATGAGGAAGGGTATAAAGAGAGTTTTTGTTCTTCATCGAATGATTATGGCCACTTAAGGTTGGCTTTTATGTACTTAAAGGGTTACTCCACTCATTACCAATTGATTTTGAGTTGGATGGTATCAAATCAGGGTTTTGGATGGTTAGTGGTCAAGTCTCTTACCCATTTGAATTTTCCGGTAAGCATACATGTTTGGTGTTAGCCCCACGTACGAGCCCTTATCCCACTAGAGACTTGTGTCCCACATCGATGTAATTAAAGAGGAGTTATATCTGTAGCATTTGATCAGTTGGGAGGGTTTATCTGGTAATTCAAAATGAAATTTATTGAGTTTGTATGTAGACTAACTAGCTTTTATTCTAGGATTTTTTTTTTTTTTTCATCAAGACTTTTATTCTGTGATTGAAAGAAGGAAATGCGGGGAATTTTGGAAAAGGGTTTGTTGAGAGGAGGGTTGATAAAAAGAAAGAACCACAGGTTTCAAGCATTGATTTTATGGGGCTCAACTTTGCTGATAAGAAGGATAGCAGGGGATTGCCTGCTGGATTGGTTCCACCAACAGACCCCTTTCCAGAAGGGAACATACCAGAGGTGGAGATAATTGTTGGGGATGCAAGCAATTTTGGAGATGCAGCGGCCACAAAGGCAAAGCCAATCCAAAAAGACAATTCTGATCTTTACAAGCCGAGGGTTTCTACATGGGGAGTTTTCCCTAGACCTGGCAACATTTCAAAAACTGTAAGATTTCTGTCATTTTATATGCTAAATCAAGAGGCTTGGGGCATGCTTGGTTTTGTTTTTTTCTTTTATGATTAACATAAACAAAACTCTGAAAAGATGTTTGGTATTAATTTTTTTAATAAACGTCTTGTTTTTGGAAAGAACATGAAACAGCTATTTTTTGTTCCTTTACTCAGAACCACATGGACGACACACTGAACCTATCCCAGCCAATTATAAGAACATGACATTGCTACTCCAGTTCAGTTGTAAATTGTAATCGCTTTGTGTCTGAGTTTTTTTACCCTTTTTTTGATTCTTTTATTTATTGCCGCTGATTGCAATTAGATATTTTTGTCGTCTTTTTTTTGCATATTTTTTCTTCTTGCACAGGAGACCACCGTGAAATCAATCCCAATAGTCAAAAGCTTCACTACACCATATATAACTCTATCGACCCATGTTTTTAGTAAAGAATCTTTAACATATGTCCAAGTGCTACTGAAGATTACCAGAAATTGATCAACCCAAGAGAACCAATGATATCGGTGCAACGACCCCAGAAGGGATGGTTCGCAATCTAAATCACTTAAATTTCTGACCCTAAATTGTAACCATAACCTAAATTGATTCAGCTTGAAATTGTATTACAAATAATTTAAAAAAAAACTAATTAACTATGTGAATAAGTAGCTATAGTTATATATAACTTCAGATAATAGAAAATGATCACAAGCGTAATATATATATGTATATATACAATTTGTATATTAATAAAGGTATAGATAAGAGTTTTAAAACGAATTGCTATCTCGACCATTGTTGTCGTAGCCTAGAAAGTGTCATATCGTGGACCACCAAATTGACCTATGATCTAGATAACATTAGTTTGAACTTTGATGTATCACCCCAAGTATACCTTGCTATGGCGATTGTTAGCTATTAGGATGAAGAGAGAATTCTCCAATAGATATAATATATATGTAACAAATAAATATTGGAAGGTATCACATACATAAATCTTATACCACAAATATATGACAGAAGCAACAAGAGCTTTAAACAATACATATTAGAATATGTACATGATAGCATCTATGAACTTCCTAAACACATTGTCTACATTTTAGTTCAATAGCAAACTTTTAAAAGCTTTTCGAAAGAAGTCTATTGTTGCCACCTTTTGAAAAATTCTGACGATAACGTACTACTTCAATTGAGAGTACACTTGATATTATCAATTTAGTGGATATATAGATATCAGATATAATGGTAACTTACTGAAAACTACACATTAATAATGTGGACTAAGACAAATTTTAGTGGCTGAGCTTCTTTTGAGAACCCTTCCAAAATTTCTAACACTTCACTTAACAGGAATAAGTTGAGAAGGAAAAGAGAAGATCAAATTTCTTGGCTAACTGGTGTGTAGGTTTAACAACTCACATAGAAGATCTCAAATTTATGCATGTTGGGTATATCTAAGTTCCCATGGAGGAGTTCTGTTTCCTAGTTATTATGGATTACTTAGACAATTATTCAACTGGATATTCAAATTTCCATTTTTGTGGGATTATTTCCATCAGGTAATCCTTTTAGTTATTTAGTGGACTAGAAACATCTTTTTGTAGTTCTTGAAGTCATCCATGGGAGTTTGTATCTCTCATTCAATTTTTGCTGATTCATATTCCTCGATAGTATGATCAACTATGAACTTATTTTCGTAATTGTACCGTGGGTTTTTGTTTTCATTCTATACATTTCTATATTACACGGGCTCCCTAGTACCCGTAGTGGCAGAAGCCTCGTGTACTGAGCCACACTTTTTTATTATGGTAGTTGATGCCATGAACGTTGTAGGTGGACCTTTATAAATTATATTTTAGAATTTGTACATGCAAGCCTTGTATAATGTGATTTGAAAATGACTAGATTGGACTTTACTTCTTTATGGAGTCGTTGGTAAAAAACAATGAGATAAATAATTTAAGAAAGTTAGTAACTCAAGGTGTAGGTAGAGTTAGAAACTTGTAGGTAAGGATTAAAATTTCGTTTTGGTCATCTAAGAAACAAAAACATTTCGACGTATTTTGGATCAATCCGTTTCGGAAACAGAATGAAAAAAATAAAAAATTTAAAAATTATTTTTTCAAAACTTTGGTCGAAATATACCAAAATACCTTAACATACCTTGAAACATTCCTAAAACGATTGTGCAAATGCATTGAAATATTACAAAACATTTCAAAATATTAAAGAACAACTCGAAGTATTAGAATTTCAATTTCATCGCTGATTTGTTTTGGTCTCGTTGAAAACGGAAACGCTTTGAAAAAAAATTTGATCATTGCTTGTAAGCAATTAATAACCTATGATATAGATTTTAGAGACCTAATAGGAGGGCTAGAATTTGTGTTCTAATAGGATATTGAAGGAATAGGGAACTTAACACAAAATTAAGCATAAATTTTAGAAAACAGAAGTAATATCAAAAGACATGTTAGGATATATTTGACTTTTAATATTGATTGGGGAGAAAATAGGAAATCAAAAGTTTACTCAACTTTCTGACATTTATAATAATATAGATTTTAGCAGGTGCATATATGGTTGTGTTTCTACTGCAAAACATCTTGGAATAATTATTATACTTTTGGGGCCACTTTTTTGTGTTTTGGCCTTATTTTTGAGCCAATTGTCACTCAAAAGCTAGTTTCACCACTTATCGTTTTCTTTGTTTCCAGTATGGTGGTGGAAGAAATATTCGCCCTGGGGAGGTGCTTGAAACAGTAGAAGACAGAGTTGCCAAAGAAGCTCATACAAAGCAATTACTTGCTGCATACAAGAGCCAAATAGGCTTAAACATTGATCCCAGGCTAAAATCTGAATGTGAGAAGGTATGCTTTCAGTTGCAAGTTGCCTTATTTAAACAAGTCATGAAGGAAAAGCAAATTCCAAACTCTCCTTTAAACAGATCCTAGTTGGAAGTTGGAACCATCTACGAAACTACATAAAATTAAGAATAAGAAGAGGTGTTTCTGTATAATGTTGCATAATCATTTTACAAATAGTTTGGATTGTTATTGGAAATTCATTTTCAGTCTTGTCAAGAATTATGTTCTTTAATGGCATTTGCTTTATTAATTCAATTATCTGGCCATGAATTAAGGTGTGAAAACAAGGGTGTTTGAGCTGAGAGCAACCACTTTCTTTACAACTATCCCAAACTTTGGGTTTATATCTAGTCTCCAACCTCAAGTAAGCAGAACTCAACTAGGTAATAACCTTCTTTTTTAGTTCATCTTAAGTTGCAGATGTTAAGTTGTTTAAAACGATATAGTAATTAATAAGATTTGGTCATGGCCCATGATTCTTCGATTTGCTTTTAGAAAGTATGCGTGTACATGGGTACGAAGATTATAAATTCTCGCAGTGAATAAAAAAAATACTGATTTCATGTACTTTAGAAGTCACGATGGATCCCAGATAAAAAATGTGAATCATGACTATGAGCATAATTGAAGATGCAGAATCTAACTGTGACCAGATTGATGAGGGTAAATAAAAAAAGGCAGCCCAGTGCACGAAAGTCATGGTACAATGGGTTTGAAGAGGGTCAAATTTATGCAGCCTTATCTATGTATTCAGAGAAGTTTTTTCCGCTGATTGATGAGGGTAAATATGGATGATTTACTGTCATTTCTATTTCTTCCCTTGAGAAAAAGGCCAATTTGAGCTGAATAAGTTACTTGCTTTGAATCTTGCGGCCCTAAAATATGTCGAAAATCTACGAAGTGGCAACGTTGAGAAGCTCTATAAAAAAGTAATGATTACTCCATTTCACTGTATTTTTTCATGACTTTTAGCATGCATCTTTGACTATGTGATTCTTGAGTGAACTTAGTGCAGAAATTTCTTTATATTTATAGTGCTGCTACACATAGGTATTGAAGGATGGAGACTCCTTGATGGATCTTGGAAAGCTTAAGGAAGCATTACCATTCTATGAAAAAGTTATGGATAAGTTGCCATATAAGGTAATGTGCTAACGGTATGAATAATCTGAGTTGCCTCATATTAAGAGGATTTTCATTCCTTGGTTCTCTGTGAAGATAGATTGTAGTTGTCTGTGTAGAGTGTTGCTATAGATGATTGTTCTCTTCTTCATTTTTGCACTAAATTTCATTTCATTTTGTCTGTGCAGAGTGAACTTCATGGGATAGCTGCATTGCAGTGGTCTATTTGTCAAGATTCACTTAGTAGGTATATATATGTGCGATTGTTTCAAAATCTTTTATAATTCTTAGAGTGTGATCAAATGATCCGTGTAAAATTATGTTTGTTATGCTTTGTGAAAACTCTTTTGAATTTCTTTAAATCATAGGTGCTGGAAACATGGCTGCGAACCCATTGTCCTGCTATTTTCAGAAATGACTTTGATGAATGAGAAGAAAAATTGTTTTCTGGGAATATGAAAAGATATTTCTGATTTCCAATCAGAAGAGAAAACATTTGTAGAAATATAAAATTGTTTCAAAAATGTGTTTAAAAGATGGTTGTCATTAGTCCAGTATGTTCTGTCGGAAATTCAAATGACAGTTTTGTCCCTTTAAACTTCTGTCCCACGCCACTAGTGCAATCACCGGGTGTTTGAAACATAGTGGACTGAATAAATCTCTATTAGATGCAACTGTTAAATAGTCATTGTTATTCTTTTGTTCATTCTTTTTTTGGTTAATTGTTCTTTTGTCCTTGTTTACTTAGAATAAAGGTTTTGGGAATTATTAATTTAAATTTTTGTTAGACAATTAATGTAAGTACAATGATGGTGCAAACTATACAAACATAATACTTCTATTGGGTGTCATGGTTCTATACAAATGAAAGTCTTCCAACCTTCAAAATATTTATTATATGAGCAGTAAAAATTCCAATTCTTAATTCCACATGACAAGTAGTTTTTAGACAATCATACTAAGTACAATGATAAACTATACAAACATAACACTTCCATTGAGCGTCATGGTTCTATAAAAATGAAAGTCTTCCGAACTTCATAGTATTTATATGAGCAGTAAAAATTCAAAATTTTAATTCCACATGACAATTAATTAAGCACAGTAACAATTGATAACCATGATATAATATTTTTGAATCCTGAACATGAAATTGACCACAAACTTTAATGAGGGAAGAAATCTACTGTTGACATTATGGCATTTATTAATGGTGCAGGACAACACTGCTAGAGAAAGTTTAACAAAAACACTCGAGTAATGGAACATACCGTATTAATTGCTTCAGGTTATGAGAAAGCAGAGTTTTAATTTAGTTTTATGATTTGATGTATAATTTGGAGGTTGGATGGATAAGGTGTGCTTGAGCTTGAATGGACCGTTTTACTGGTGGCTGAGGTTCAATACATTGCTAACATCTATAAAAAACAAGCATTCGACTTAGAATATAGACGAAAAAGAGAGGCTTGATATGTTTAGTTACAAGTCAAGGATCTAAAAGGGGAAGCGGCAGAGTATGATTGTGAATCCAATTTTTTTCATGATTCTTCACTCTTCTTATCCCATAGATAACTAGTAATTAAATGACACAGGAAATTCTTTTTTTTCCATAGAAATATTATTTGAATTATTCACTATGATCTTTTTGATTGCTGAGAATATGTAGCATTCTCATGAAAACTTAGACTATATAACTGGTTGGGTACTGGAGTGGACCAAGAGGCCGTTTCAGGTCTTCAAGTTTTCTCCTCCTCTAGTACAAATTGGTGACTAAATAGAGCATAGGAGAGATGAAATCTATGGAGAATAAGAGTTAAAGCCTCCCCAACCATTAGGGCACATATTTTTTTTCTCCCAATTTACCTATTTACTTGTTTTGTACTTTCATGCAAAGTAAAACACTAAAATCTCATTGGTACACTTCTTTTATGGCAATTGCCTCTAGCAGGATCATACTTTGTCCTTGAGTTTTTACCAAGTGACATATCATTGTAGTTATCTCTGAAAAAATAGACAACATATTAGCGAAGGGTATCTTTATATGAGGATTTCATTTTGGTACATAATTTTAGTCAGCTCGAAAACGGAAACGTTTTGGAAAAGCTGAAGCTTGAATAATTGCATATTAAGGTTTAGGAAAAGAAAGAAAGAGAGAAAAATAAAGAAATTATGAAACAATACCTATTATATTCAACTGATAATGAAGACAGTTACATACAATACTAGGAAAGTAGAAAGACAGGAAAATAAACACTTCCTCCAAGTTGGAGCATAGTGATAAAAATGCCTAGCTTGGAAGAGAGGTTATTAAACGTGGACATGCCAATGGTTTAGTAAGAATATCATTGAGTTGATTACCCGACTTTACAAATAGGGTCACAATATCTCTACATTAACAACAAGTATAGTAAAACCAACTATAGATGACTGCTTTAGACCATGCAAAGACTTTTTGAATCGACACACAATATCACGATACTTCTTTTGAGCAACAAACCCATGTGGTTGCTTCATGTTAAATCAGATTGAAAACTCTGAAATTGGTACTGAACCAAAGTGCAAACAATTGAACTGGCACTGAACCAGTTTGGAAACCACTAAATCAACACTAAATTGGTCTAAAATCCATTGGGTACTAAAACGAACTAGAAATACTAAACTGACGCTAAACCATTAAATCAACACTAAATTGGCCCAAAAACCATTGAACAAACACTAAACTTGATTGAAAACTTTGAACAAGTGCTAAATCGTGTTGAAAGGCACTAAACAAGTATTAAACACAGTTGAAAGTTCTAACTAGATAGTAAACCGAGCCGAAAACATTGAATTGACATTGAATCTGGAGGAAAAGTGAAAACTATTAAATCAGCACCAAACTAAGCCGAAAATTAGGGAACTGATACTAAACCAGAATAAAACATTAATCCGGCATTGAACCAAAATAAAAACAACTAAACTAGCACCAAATTAGGCCAAAAACCATTAAACTTGCACTAAACTGGGCCAAACACAAAGACGACAACAATTGGTGAACATAGAGATGAATACAACTCGATGTATGTAGGGCCAACCCAACTGCTAGGTGAGTAAGGCGCTCGCCTATGGCCTTACTCGCTCAAATATCTTGCTTTGATCCTAAGTTGAAATTTGAATAATCGTATATTAGAGTTTAGGGAAAAAGAAATAGGAAGAAGGAGAGAGCAAGCAACACAAATTATGGAGCAATATTGTGTGTAGGGTGTGTATTGCCTATACCTTATCACCTATTTATATTGGACTGATATTGTAGACAACTACCCTATTAGGAAAGTAGAACATAGTAGGAAATCAATATAATATGAAAGTAGAACCATTGGAAAGTAACATAATAGGAGTGAAGGGAGATATCCCATATTGGAAAATTAAGTAGCCTTGTGGCCGTGTTTTATATTTGAGGGGCCACTCCATTCATAACTGATTTGTTTTGGATTGGATGCTCTAACATGGTATTAGAGCTGAGATTTGAATAGTGGGTGGGCTAAATCTCTCTTCCACTTGAATTTTCCGGTCTGTTTCCTGTTTGTTTCAATACAATCCCAGTCTGTTTTTATTTTATTTGTTATCCCACATGCGAGTCCGAGTTGCACGCAAAGGAGGGTGTGAAGAGAGATATCCCATATTGAAAAATTAAGTAGACCCAAGGTTAGTTAATATATTTGAGAAGCCATCTCTCCCATAGTCAATTGGTTTTGGATTGGATGTTCTATCAATATAATAGGAAAGTAGAACAATAAAAAAGTAACACTCTAATAGGAAACATAATGGAAACAAATAAAAATTGGATTTTGACTCTAAAACATTTAGAAACATTGGAGTTTTGATTTTGAAACATTTAGAAGCATCTGAAAAAATTTCAAAATATTTCGATCATGAGAATTTTGATTTTGAATTCTTTTCAGTTGTTTTGTCTAAAACGAAACAAAATTTTGATCCTTGCCTGCAACCTTTCTTGCCATTCCTTTTAGTAAAGTATTGTGTTATTCTCATGCAAGTATCAATTACGTTGCACAATTAGCCATATGGGATATATTAAACCTTCGGTTGTAAATGTGTGATACAACTTTCTGGGTTTCATCTCAAAGTTAACCATATTTCAGTTTTGACTCAATAGAGGTGAACTTAACAGTCATATTGTTGACAGGTTCAATGAAGCTCGAGTTATGTATGAGAAGCTTCAGTCTCATCCCAATGCTCAAGTGAGCAAGAGAGCTAGGCAATTTATGTTCAGTTTCCAGGTAACGAAATAGGAGGTAATTCCTTAATGCATGAATTACAGGAAAAAAAAATTTGCTACAGAGGAGTTGAAGATTCATAACCACTAATCTGTATGAAGTTTATGACATGGTGTCGAATAAAATGAACCATGATATGCATGATTTTTTTTTTGAACAGAGATATGCATGTTGATAATGAAGTTGTTACAGGTATCCAATCCAAAACCAAAGGTAATGAATAGAAGGGCCCCCAAGGTTCATATCCCAGTTCGGGTTTCTTTTTTTTTAATATGGGGCAAGGTCTAACACTCCCCACACTTGCAACCCCCACTTGCACATGGAGAGAAAAAAGGAATTATATGATGAATTTAGCGACGTAACAAGTGCACCTATTGCGCAAAACAGGGGATTCAATTACCAATCTAAAGAAGTTGAGATTATTTGGCCGGCTCTAATGCCAGGTTAAATCCATCCAACCAAAACCAAATGGGAATGTGTGGAGAGGCCTACGAGGCTCACGTACTAGTTTGGGAGGGGGAGCTCTGACAAAAGTTGAGACATGTTTGACATGCTTACAAGGTTATATGGGTAGCATAGCAATCAACAATAACATTGAATCCTTTTATTACATTGTTTTGGTTAGTGTACAATGAAAGGGGAAATTGAGGGAGGGATAGAGGAAGGGAGGAGACAAAAACTTGTTATGTTATATGCGCAGCTGATTGCAAAGCCACATGGTGGTTTTCCTATATTATTTTTTCACGGCACTTTAGCTTACATAAGAAACAGTGACACAGAAGTTGTAGAATCTTATGAATTCAGAGTTATATTTAAACAGGGAATTTTTTCCTTAGTGTGAAATGTAAATTGTTGTTATCACTTTCATCTTGCTGAGACTTTCAATTAAAGATCACATGGTTGATGGCAGGCCATGAAAATGATGAAGGTTACAGGTTCATCTTTTCCTCTGGTGAGCATGGGTTACCAAAATTATTTTGAAGCATTTATTGAAGATAAAGCCAACTACCCTTTAAAAGAGCCTGAAGATAAAGAAGGTGCACTAAGTCAAGCCCTCCTTCCATATATTATTTTTCTGGTTTCTCCAATATTCATTCTAGTATTTTTTGCTGTACATAAAGGCACATAATTTGAAAATTTAACTCTTGCAACTCAGATGTAATTAACAGGTTATGTCCTTCGGCAGTTCAGCATACATATTACAGACAAGTTGTCTTTTTTAACATAATGTAAAGATCAAGTGGCAGATTGAGTGTATGTATAAGCTTCTCCATGAAAAAATGTAAAACAAGTGGTAGAAGTTACATTTTATGATTGTTTGGGCATTTAATAGCTGTGTAAATTCCACCAATCACAATAAGGATAGAAAAAGAGGGGCAAAGGAGCACAGCATATTTTGTGCTTCCTAAGGGGGACTGATGGGTGGCTGCAAAAAATGATGGAATAATGGGCTATGTTGCAAGATGCAGATATATTAAAAATATTCAAGCCTAAGAATTGTCTTTTTAGAATGTGAATTACTGGCTAGTCAAAAATTTTAAGCTGATAGGGGGTAGTGTAACTTAAAAATCAGTAATCCCCTTCATTTGTTACCCTCCCAACTTTTTTTTTTTTGGGAGGGAGGGGGAGGGGGAACGGGGCTTGAACTCTTGACCTTAAGAAAACAAAGCATTCACAAGGTAAAGAGTACGAGTGGACCAAAGACCCATTACTCTCCTAACTGAACCATGAACCTAAATCTGTTATTATCAGTGAGGTAGTTGAGCTTTGGAGCACAGTATCTGCCTGTTATTATACCATCTAAACAATTGACTGCTTACAAACTTACACTGGAAGATGGATATTGATTTAAGTTAATTTTGGAACTTTTCTATCATACAGTGATCTTGTTAAGAACATCATGGAGGATAAAAAAAAAAATGCCAATATATGGAGATATAAACTAAATTTTAAGTGTCGAATATGCTGAATTGGTGTTGGGCAACAGGAGTCAGACAGTTAATCTGCGAGCAAAGTTGCAAGGTAACTTGAAGATTGACTTTGCTACATGCAGGCAAAAGGTTTTGGGCTTATATGTTTGAAATTTTTCTGTAAAATGAGCATCAGAAATGGATGAAATTATAGGGTTGTAGGATATGATGCAATCTGAAAAGGATATTAGGAGGAGATTATGTGTTATCTTTACAGGAAGGAAACTCAGTAGCACAGGTTGACACTCTATGATCTGGTGACTCTCTTGTATTCAATGATACCTATCTAGTACTTTGGTTTGGTGCTGGCTAAAGGAAGATAAAGGGAAGGTGAAAGCAATGTAAACTAAGGAGGTGAATGCAAAAATTATACATTCTCAGGGTTGGCTCAGTATATGTAGGGTCAGTACTAATATTATTGTTGAAACAACTAGCATAAGTTGGTCTGTTGCTTCTGAAGGTGAAGATGATGAAGATGGTGATGAGTGATGGCAATCCTACCAATGAGACTAAGATACAATAGGTTCAGACCAATGTAATTTGTATTGTGGGTTGATGGCATGTGATCAAGATCTGCAGTACAATAGTTTTTTTCGATATGCACTGCAATGGGGTAGACTTAATTGGTATACCATTTTAGGTCGAGGTCTGCTTTATAACTTTTACTTGAGTCGCATTCACTCTTATATGAAATTCTGCATAACTATGCATCCATATACATGTAGCTAAACTAATTTTATAAAAAGAATTCTAAATCGCACCATAATTGAAAACAACACACCAAATTATTTATATAAATAATAAAAGCTGATGATTGCAAATTTATATTAGGAAAAAACATTCAAGTCTCACGAATTAAAATATGTTTAGAAATCACTAAAATAAAATTATTAATTAGGTTATAATATGAGGCTTGGGCTATTATTTTGGATTACCTATATCGTTGGTTAATTTAGAGTTTTAGTTGTAATTGAAGCTTCGGAATTTGAGCAAATTTTGGTTGCGAATCCATTTCGTTTCGAGTATCTTAAATTTGGGCCGCTTGCAGTATCCACAATATCAATTGATAGAATTAATCATAGAGAATAGATAATAGAGAAGAGAAAGTGATTATATTATTAGACTAAAAGTAAGTCCTATAATGAACATCTTAAACCTAGAAATATACAAATAACCCTTATATAGTAGGGCAACACAACAAAAATAAAATACCTAAACTACCCTTATTATTAATACTCTAACACCCCCTCTCAAACTTATGATGTGGTGGAAAACATCAAGAGTTTGCTAAGAAAAAATCGAAAACGTGTTATGGTGTGAGACTTTGTAAAAAAATTCGTTATCTGCATTGTGGAAGGAAGCAATAGGAGAGTGATAGTGCACTGTTGTAAATAATGACGCATAAAGTGACAATCAATCTTAATGTGCTTTGTGCACTCATGGAATAATGAGTTTGAGTAATCTGAATAACATTAGTATTGTCGTAGAACATAGGAGTTGGAGAAGATATCGAAATGTCAAGATCAGCAAGGAGCAAATCATAACCAGATAATCTCAGTTGTAGTAGATGCCATAACACGATACTCAACTTCAGGAGAAGAACTAGCAACAACAGTTTGTTTCTTACTTTTTCAGGAAATAAGAGAATCCCCAAGAAAAAGACAGAAAGCAGTGGTGGACTTGCGATCTATAGAGTCACTAGCTCAGTCAAGATCAGAGTAAGCCCGGAGTTCCATAGAAGAAGAGTGAGAAATAGTAATTTATGATATAGATTACCACAGAGATACCGAAGAATGCGAAGAACAGTAGTCCAGTGAACGGTGGTGGGTGAGGCAACAAACTGACTCACAATGTGAACAACATAAGAAATATCCGGATGAGTGATTGTAAGATATACTAAACTCCCAACAATAGTGCGATAAAGTGTTGGATCAGACAAGGGAGTACCATCAGACGAAGAGTAGCGAACATTGAGCTCTAAAGGTGTTCCAATTGTCCGATTATCTGATAAGCGAGCTCGGTGAATAATGTCAAATGCATACTTGAATTGAGAGAGAAGATAACCTTTAGAAAAAAGACAATCTTAATGCCCAAGAAATACCCAAGTTGTCCTAAATCTTTCATTTCAAAATGATCTTGTAACTGAGTTTTCAATAAGCATATACCAGTAGTGTTATCACCCGTAATAATCATATCATCAACATATAGTAAAAGAATAATAGAGCCGGAGGAAGTAGACAATAAAAAGAGGACAGAATCATGGTCACTAGCGCGAAAATTCAAGTCACAGATAACCAAAGAAAATTTGACAAATCATGCCTTAGGAGCCTGTTTAAGGCCATATAAGACACGATGAAGTCGACATACTTGACCAGGATTATAAGATAATCCGAGATGAGGTGTCATAAAAACCTCTTCAATCAAATCTCCATGTAGAAATGCTTTTTTTCATATTCATTTGAGACAAACTCTATTGTCGAATGACAACAATTGCAATCACAGATGTGAACAGTAGTTATTTGGGCAACAGGAGCAAAAGTCTCATCATAGTCTAAACCATATTTCTGAGCAAACCTCTTGGCTACTAATCGAGCTTTATATCGTTCTACAAAATCATCCGACTTGGTTTTTATCTTATAAATCCATTTACAACTAATTGGACGTTTTTACCAGGTAGTAAAGGCACTAACTTCCAAGTTCTGGTCTTATGTAAGGTAGATAACACATCATCTATAGCCTGTTTCTAAAGTTGATTAAGTAAAGCTTCCTTGTAGAAGGTGAGTTCAGATAAAGAATGAATAGAAATAAGTAAAGAATAAAAGTTAGAAGAATAACAAGTATTACTCAAATCAAACCTGTCTGGACATTTGCGAGAGTGATGAGGATAGCATGAGGTATGATCCACAGTGTCTGAACCTAATTGGATAGTCGAAGGAGAAAGGGGAAGCACTGTATCCGGAGAGGAGATAACTGGAGTCTTGCAAACATATGTATGCATAATAGGGGGACGAGGGACAGTCAACTCGGAAAAGGAAGGATCTGACACAAGTAAATCACCAATATACGTGTAATGAGGAACATTAGTAGGAAATGGATCAATGTATAGTAGGTCAGACTTATTCAATGAGGAAGAACTAGACATAATAGAGAAAGAAGAGAATATACTCATAAAAAAACAACATGACGAGAGACATAAAGTTTGTGGGTGATGGAATCATAGCAACGATACCTTTTTTAACCCTCATCATATCCTAGAAAATACACATAAAGCTGAACGGGTAGAAAGTTTGGTACGAAGAACACTAGAGAGAAAAACAAAACAAACGTACAACCAAACACACGTAAAAAAAAATAGTTAGGGGCTTACCATATAACTTTTCAAATGGAGAGAATCCAGAGGTGAGAATAGTGTAGGAATAATGTTGATCAAATGAACTCCTATCAAAATTGCTTCCCCCAAAATGAGCTGAGAACATGTGCTGATAATAGAGGGAACGTGTTGTCTCTAAATAAGACGGTGGTGTTTTCGTTTGGCAACACCATTA